TTTAATAAGTTGTACTTACGCACAATCTACTTACAATCTTGAGTTCTAAGTAATATGCATTAATAAACAATATTTTACACATAAAAAATGGTTTTTAAGAGTTTTTGTCAAATACTTTATAATATAGTATAGATTATTTTATAAAATATTTTTTCAAACAATGTCATATACAAAGACTAATAAGACAGTTTATTTAAAAATTGTAATAAACACTTGTTAGGATGCCCAAAAGTATCTTATTAACTTATTGTAACACTTTTACTGGTTCTATAAACTAAAGTCATATAAAACAGACATATTTGACGTTTTATAAAACTGATTTTATAGTAGAATACTATGATATGAGGAATTTAATAGCTTAACAAATGTTCCTTTATGATGATAAACAGTCACATGAAGAAAGATCAGAAGTACATTGTCGAGCAACTTACGTGCGCGATCTTGATGATGAGGGGTAATGGCCAAGTAGAGTTTTTAAGAGATCCTAAGCCTCGGGTTGTTTATAGTCCACGCAATATTGGAACTTCTACAGGTGAGTGATCGAACTCTTTAACCAAAGTCTGATACTACAACATAATAGGTTTTAGAGGATGCCAAATATGTTTAAATGTCCTAATACACTAGCTCTTTTATAAGACTAAACAATTGTACGTTATATGTAAAAGTTGATGCGCGTCATTACATTATTGAATATTAATGATGCTTTATTTTAAAGGGTTTCTAAAAAAATTTGGACGCCAAAAAACGTTGTATCAACTTATTATAACACATACATATGACACCTAATTGTTTGGGTCTATAAATATAAGCCTCAAATAATAATTTATTATGATATATAGACATATTTGACATCCTATAAAACTATTTGGTTGCATTGCGGGGAACTTTTCATACTTATTTCGACGTGGATTGGTTCATGAGTTGATGGGGTGTGGTGTTATGTTGTAGATGCAGAGTGTATCAAGGAAATGTCCTATGACGACAATGCTTGTACCATATGCGGGCACAAAAGGATCACGAATGGGCTCTTTTCACGATTCAGTTATGCAGAGCTTGCTTTCTCGACATACGGATTTTCTCAGAAATATCTATTATCCAAACGCCGAAAGAGAGTTTATAAAGGAACTTTACGTTGCGGATTGAAGATCGTCATAAGAAAACATTTTTTCGCAACCATTAAAGAGGAAGATTTCCACACGCTTGCGTTTGCGCTCAGCAAGGCGAGGCATGAACATGTAGCAACACTGCTCGGATTTTGTTTGGAAGGATTTCACAGGTTTCTCGTGTACGAATCTGTGTGCAATCAATCTCTAAGCACACATTTATCAGGTAATTTAGAATTGAAGTACGCATAATGGATTGCTATAACAAAATCGGTTTTTTAAAGACGCACAAATGTCCTTAGGCGTATTAATAGAGTACTTAATGGGATTTGAAGTTTATAGGACCAAAAACCAATGGCTTACTTAAACATATTACAATAAGTTGTTAGAATGAAGGATTAAACGATCTAACAAGTTCTATCGACGAAGTTGGACAATCTAATAAGACAACTTATTATAATATCTTTAGATAAGGTGTCGGTTTTTGGTTCTAGAAGCTTAAATTCCCGTTACGGTATTTTATAAGGACATATGTACATCCTGAAAAACTCATTTTGTTGTAACGGATTTAGAGAATTTTGTAGGTGAAAGCGAGAATCGCTAAGCAAATAGACCCTTAAATTTGTGTAGCAAGAAGTGAAGAGTTGACATGGGAAAGAAGACTGAAAATATCCCTAGGAACATCTAAAGGATTGGAATATTTGCATACCAACAATATTTTTGGATGTGTGAGACCAAGAAACATCCTTCTGACTCATGACTATCAACCACAGGTAAAGACTGATGTAATCATATTTGACAGCTACAAACGGTTTCATTAAGATTATTGAAAAAGATCTTGTTTAGTTCGTTATAAGCTATTTTTTTGAAACGTTACTTAAAGGGGTTTAAACCAACAGCTAGCTCATCAGCTAGTTTGTTAAGCATTTACTGTATTTACATTTTGTAATATCGAACTAATAAGCATCTTAAATTTAATTGCTTTTGAAGATTGCGAACTTTGGTCTTACGAAAAACCCATACGAAGACTTGAATCACTTGTCGGAAGCAAGGGTCATGAAGACTTTTGAGTATTTGGCACCAGAATACGATGAAACTGGGGCCGATTCAAGTAAAACCGATGTGTATTCATTTGGGGTTGTGCTTCTTGAGCTACTAACAGGTCGAAAGACTTTAGAAGAAACAAATGGCAAAAGTTTTTTGAGATGGGTAAGCGATTAATTTCTAAAAGAATTTGGTACTTTGTTTTTTCAAGTATATAATATTTATATACGACAAACTAAGTTTACATACACTCTTCACCGTAACCCCACTTTTCTGAAAGTTAATGGTTCAAGTCTCACCTTCTTGACTTCTTATTGGATCAGGCAAGGCCACTATTGGAAGAAAAGATGTACGAGGATTTAGTAGATCCGTCTATGAAGGACGACATTCATCTTTATCAACTTGTTTTGATTGTTCGGGTTGTGGAGGACTGTCTTTCTTATGATCCAAGACTCAGGTGCTCCATATCTGAGGTATTTAATCATTTACCCGTTTACATCCTACTATAGCAAAATCGGGTCGATAGGACATCAAATTTTTTAAAATGTCATGATAATTTGTATCATAGGACTTAAGTTCATAGAACTAAACAATTATGGGTATTATATAAAAAATGTTATAATTTTTTTTGGGACACTTTGAAATAAAACATTTTATTATTTGAAAATAAATGTCTTATAAAATCAAAAGTTCTATAAAAATGTGTTAATACACACACACACACACACACACACACACACATATATATATATAGAGGGTTGGGTTTCCATGGAGACCAACGTATTTTCGTAAGATCCGTGAAACCGCATTTTCTATACTTGAATCTTCACAGCAAATACATTGTGAAGGTTAACTTCACAGTGTTCTACTGTGAAGTTTCAAGTGTAAAAAGATGGTCTCACATGATCCCAAATCTATATATATATATATATATATATATATATATATGTGTGTGTGTGTGTGTGTGTGTGTGGAGGATAAATGAGAATGCTAAATATTTAAGAGAATATAAAAACGATCAAATTACGTGTAAAATTACATGTGATTTTATATGATATTTGCTCAAAAGTGTTTATACAAAAGCTAATATGACATTTTATTTAGGAAGTGTCCTAAATACTTGTTAAAACGCCGAAAAACATTCTACAAACTGTTGTAACACTTTTACATATGTCGTAAAAGTGTTTGATCCTATAAACCTGATTATATTACAGTAGTAATAAGAATTTCTTCACTTACAATGTCTTATTTTATTTGAACAGGTGGTAACAACTTTGACACAGATAGTTGAAATCAAGGACCCTTCACCTATTCAATAGTTATAAACAACCTTCACTTGATAATCCCTTATAAATATTTACGGGCCGTTTACCAAATACTTACTCGGTAAGTGCTTATCGATAAAAATTTTAACACCGCTATTTACTTACCGGGTAAGATTTTAGTCCACCAAAACGACATCGCATGTAACAATTTACACGGTAATCACTTACCATGGTAAGAGTCGTTGCTCTCACTTACTGGGTAAGACTCTTGGTCCCTGTCTCGTTCTTACCGGATAAGATTATTGGTCCGTACCATATTCATCCAATGAGGTAATTTGACTTGGTAAGCGCTTACCAGGATAAGCGTTTGGTAAACGGTCCCTTAATTTCAACGATGCTTCAATTTTTTTTTCTTTTATTGTTGAATCCGAAAATTTGATGCCACCTATGTAAGCTTTATTTATATATACTTAAAGATATGAATATAAAATATATTTCATTGTTGGAGTTGGCAAATTTAACTGAATTCATGTAATAACGTATCGATTTAAATTATACTCAATTCATAACAGAAAAAATAAAATAAGCAACCATAAGAGTGGTGTGTGATTGGTTTGAGCTTGGCTCCAAAGGTCAAAAGTACCAGAAGGTCACAAGTACCAGAAGGTCACAAGTTCAAATCCAATGATGAATAAAAATCCCCTTGTGGCCACGGATGCTTAAATGCGGTGATTCCGGGCAATTTGCAAAGCAGGTGATCGTTCTGGGATTAGTCGGCTCGCATAGCGAGTTGGATATCCAGGTTAATAATAATAAAAAAGCTAAAACGGAAAACAAGTTAAATGGGTCATCCTTCAGTAAGGTTTGAACCATTGACCTCAAAGAGATTGAGATCTTACCAGTAACTCGGATACTATTGGGATAATAGTTATTTAGTAATTGGATAACATTGGGGGGTGTATGTTGTATGAATCCTTCCAATATTTTGAAACATAGTTGTTGAAGAAAGTGATACGAGACAACGAAACGAGATAGAAGACCAATTTTGTCCTTACGTCCATTTTTGTTTCACCGATCCAACATAAACAAGTTTGGGATATGGAAAGATCGTGCAACTTAAAAGGACATGATCGTGCTGAAGTATAATTATGAATTTTCATGTGTTTAGCGTTAAGGGGTGTTTGGGATTGCTTATAAAAACAACTTATTGACTTATTTCAGTGTGACACCGGTAATAAGCACTTTTGAGTTTCGGATAAACAACTTATACCGGTGGCAAACCAATAATAAGAAGTTAAACCCTTCTAACTTATAATAAGTTGATAAGTGCTTTCGTATAAAAACATAAGTTGTTTCAAATAAACAATCCTAAACACCCCTTGAGTTGGCATCGTTTTGAGTTGTCATACAAATGCAACCGTTTATGCCACCACCATTTAGTTTTTCTTTCGTGAATAAAGATTCTCGTTTTGTCTGGTGAACGCATACCATCCTTTTGGTTGCGGAACCACATTAATTGGCAGCTATTTACTTATTCGTTTTCTTTTTATCGTCTAATACACACGATATTTACCAGTCATCTTGCTTTTTGATTCATTTGTTTTGCTTCGTTGCATGTTGGTAAAAATCACGCCTCTATTGTTGCTTTTGAATAAAGATTGCAACTTTATTGTTCGAACGTGTGACTCAAATCCCACACGATTATTCATACATTTCACTTAAAAAACACGCCCCATATAAATCCAAAATAATAAATAATTAGATGGTAATCGAGCTCAATCGGTTTAATTGTCTTGGATTTTGAACCATCATCCAACAACTCATCAATTCAATTTAAGTATTGAAAATTTGAGTTCGATCCAATCAAATTAATTAAATATCTATATTCAATAAATAAATTATAATTTATTTAATAAATTATAACTGAATCGATAACTTTGTATACACCAACTAGTGGTGTACCCGTACGATGCAGCGCGGGTGAATCACAATTCTGAAAACATTAGTTTAGCCTTGAATCATGAGTTTTTGTGTTTATTTTACAAGTCAACTAATATATAAAGTTGAAGGTTACTATGGTGTATTAACAAAATCGATTGCAAAAATAATTGCACACATGTTGAGTTTCTAAACCTATATAAAATTGAAGGGTTGGGGTGGGGTACATGTAGGATCTGAAACCCTTTACGATATTGTTGCTTTAAATTTCAATTTACTTCAAGAGAAAGAAAAACTTTGAATTTGAATTTGAGTTCAAAATAAGAAACAAACAAAGTGTCAAACAACTTTGGGAAGACCAAACATATATTTTTCATGTAAATATGACTTATTTAAATCTGAAACTTTGACAAAACAAATGACATATGTTAAGCATTTGTACATTATACATAATAATTTATACTTTAATTTTTTTTTTTGAATCTCTTACATAAATTAATAGTATTTTATGCTTTAAAACTTGTATCTAACTACTTAAAAACACATATATCCAAAGCTACCTGAACTTGGAAGGGTCTTCCTTCTCGTTCTCTTTTTATTGACTTTGACTTTCAACGAACAACTCCTTTTCTCTTTTTCTTCTGCATTTCCTTTTATCTCCATCCTGAAAAAAGAAAGAAAAGTAAAACTACTTGAAAAATATCCATGACTTTTATTTTATCCAAATTACAGATACTACCTTATGGTTTTTGAAATTACAAGTTGCCCCTTCTTTTTATGTGACAATTGCAACTTCAAAAGTTAATTGTAAAGACCAAAACAAGTAAGAGCATGTTTGCTAACAACTTAATTAATTTAATAAGACTTACAGCTTATTAGGTTATCCATACATAACTATTTGAAATGATACAAAATATGACTTATTAGATAAACTTTTAGGGATGATATTTATGCAGAAAGTCAAGTTTTTCAAATATGTTATTCTTAATTAAAACACGTTCCATTTATCTATGAAAAAAACCCAAACAAAAACACTTACATAATTTACAAAGACATTAAATCACAATCAGCTTTACCCATCCTATGATATAAAGTACGTGTTTTTGTATTGTTTTTGTCACATGCTTCACTGCTTGTAAATGATCATCATGATTCCCATATAAGGATCATAAAAATTGATTTTTTTTGTTCCTCTTGTTAACAATTATATATAACCATAAGGGTGGTGTTTGATTGGTCTGAGCTTGACTCAACAGGTCAAAAGTACCTGCAGGTCCCAGATTCAAATCCAAGGAAGAATAAAAATTCTCTTGTGACCACGGAGGTTCAAATGCGGCGACTCAGGGCTATCTGTAAAGCAGGTGGTCGTCCTGAAATTAGTCAGCTCGCATAGCGGGTTGGATATCCAGGTTAATAAAAAAAACAATTATATATGGTGCTTGTATAAGAAAAGAAGTTATGATTGATTTAATGTAGCGAATTTGTGAATCAACCACCCAAAATATATGTTTTTATTGTGTCTCTCACACACACACATATAAAGAAACGTACTTCCAAAAACGACCAAGGTTATCTTTATAGGCATTTGACTGTGAAGTTTCAAGTGTAAAAAAATGGTTTTACGGGTCTCACAAAAACATATTGGTCTCACAAGAACCTAAGCTATTATATATTATTTAAAATAAATACGTCAATACACTACGAGGGACTTGTCATCCAAATATTTATATTATATTCTTTTAAACTTCTTAATAATCCTTTCAATAAGCATTTGGTTAAAGTTCCATAACGACAAAAAGGGTCCAAGTGTAAATTCACCAACCATTTAAATTATACATTTTTTGGCTTATTATTTTTATTTGCTATTAATTAAAAAGGATAGATTAAATCAAAATATAATGCGTTTTGTTGAAGTTTATATTTTATTTCGTGTAATGAATTTTTTTTCTCGATCGATATAAAAAACTTTCAAAATTTTCTTATTTTGTATCTATTTTAATCGGTGATCTGTTGATCTTGTAACATTCAGTAATATAGATACATATTTACAAAAGGGTATACATCATAAAAAAATTCAAATATACATATAGTGTTGTATTTTGTTCAAGTTTCTATATACTGAAATCGACAGAAAGACATCTTAAAAAAGTTAAATAGCTTTTTTCATTAATTTTTGTTGTTGCAAAGTTATAATACGTTAGTTTCTCCTTTTACAGAATTTTATTACGTTTTTATAATTGTATTAAAAATACATTATGTTTTTTTTAATTATATTAAAAATATAATACGTTTATCAAAATATAGCTTTTAGGGTGCATTTGGTACACTGGACATGGATAAGACAGAACATAATAGAGATCTTTGACCCATGTTTGGCGTGAATTTTATGTGGAACAGAAAGGAACAGAGTGGAATAAAGTGGAACAGACCTGTTCCACCCCTACTCCATGGAACAAGGTGGAACAGACTTATATTTTACCAATATAACCTCAAAACAAAACTTAATTCTCTTCTAAAACATCAAATATGTTTTTTTTTTACATTTTATTCATTCTTTAAATTTTATTTATTGTATTTTATGTTTCTTAAACTTTCATTTTACTTTTCTTAAAATATTATTTTTATACTGTTTCTATATTTTTATTAATTTACGTAATTTATTATATATTAATGATAAAAAATAATGTAGAAAAGAGATACACATAAAAATAAAAAGCTACATAAACTTTTTATTTGGTGTCATTTTAATTGTTTTAACGAAAACTTGAAATGATATACTTCGTTATAAAAAATAATTATTCCATTATAATTTAATAAATTACATAAATTAATTAAAATAAACAACTCATCATATGTAAATTGGTCATTTTACTTGTTCTGTTCCGTCCAATTTTATCTTACCAAACGTTGAACAATTATTTTATTCTGTCATGTCCAATCTTGTTTTATCTTATCATGTCTTGTCCTGACACCAAACACAACCTTAAAAACAATTTATATGTCATATGTTCTTTCAATTTTCTCTAGGCTAAAAAACCTATAAAGAGCTATCTTGTCATTATTAAGAACTAACAAACGTTGAACAATTATTTTATTCTTTCAATTTTCTCATCTAAAAAAAATGCATTTTAACATGAAAATTGTTAAAAGGGGTTTGAAATGGAATTGGTACTAACTTTAAAGAGCTATCTTGTCATTATTAAGAACTAAAGGGCAAGTATTGATATATTTAAAAACTTTAGGGGTGGTTGGGAAAATATGGATCAAAATAAAATCCCTCTTTTCAATATCATGTTTCTCTCAACTGTCTCTCCGTGTTCAACTCGCGTTTCAGCAAAAACATTTTGAGAGAGAATTTTTTACACCGGCAGCCATTCCCGAAATCGAAGTCGAAATTTATTATACTTTTAAGAATTGCCACTATTCTGATATTGGATCTTACTTCGATCGCAATTTTCAATTCTGATATTCGTTGAATAGCTCTGATTTGTGGTGGATTTCACCGAATTCTTGTCAATTTCAAGGAATTTGGCGAATCGGTTTGTCAACGGATCCAGGGGAAATTTTGAAAGCAGTTGGAACATTTGAAACATTTGATTTTAGGATTTTTGTAAGGGAAAGGTTGATTTTTGTCGATAAGTGTAATTCGAGAGGAGCGATGTTGACATTAACAGTTAGGTTTGTGATGTAATATGGCATTGGTTCTCACACAATCAAACGATGTCGCTATACATTGGTCGCGAGACTTCCAAGGTATCCTATCTTTGAACAGATTATTTTGATATCGTAACTCATTAATCTCCTGTTGTTGATCTGTTTCCTTTTTTTTCTTTTTTGAAAAGCTATGGAAAAGAATTTGTGCAGAAACTACAACTGAAGTCAACCTTTTGGCGGAGAACTGGAAGTATATTCTCGGCGGTTTAATTTGCCAGGTCTTTTTCTTCTTAATTTGAATCGGTGATATGCTTTTCTTAGCATTTCAATGGAAAAGGAGCATGATCTGTAGATCAAATTGAGTGGGGTGATTGATTCAATCAAACATGTTAACCAATCGGCTTGTTTCGTCCTTAAGTGATGGCTTTAATTAATTTGCATGGTGCATATCATACATTTTTAACTTAAACTTGTTGGGTTCCAAAAGGTTGTTTTGTACTACACTAATTCGCTTTCTGTCAAATAAATGTTAGGTGTATACCATATTCAATAGGATGTTACAATCTTGATACTATATCTATGTATGTGATTGTGATTTACTTATATAACTTTTTGAAATTTTTTAGCTGAATATAGATCCATCCAAAAATTTGATGTTGGGTGTTTTGTTCCCACAAGATGATTCAATTTTATAATTTATTGTTGTTGCCTTTCTTCAGTACATTCATGGTGTTGCAGCTCGAGGAGTTCACTATATTCATCGCCCAGGGCCGATTCTCCAGGACACTGGGTTCTTTCTACTTCCTGTATGTATCACTTTTTTGTCTTAAACAGCTTCAAAGACTTTTGTCTTCTAATTATATTTGAGGGTGCATTACTAGTAACAGTTATGTGATAAATCTATCAATATGGCTGTTTAGGAGCTCGGACAGGAGAGAGCATACGTCAGTGAGACCGTGTTTAGTTTCGTCTTTCTATCTTTTGTCTTGGTGAGTATTTATTTAATTGTGTTGCTATCTCTAGTGCCTCTATTATAGTAAATTTTGAGTTACGCTTCTTGCCTCCCATCTTTGCACCAACATTTGTTGTGTATGTCATTTTCTCATCAATTCTTTTCTCTGTTTGACTTGTGTTCTGGTACAGTGGACATTTCATCCTTTCATATTCAAGACCAAAAAGATCTACACAGTTCTAATATGGTGCAGGGTCCTCGCATTTTTAGTTGTAAGTGGCATTTTGTAGTAGTAGTAGCACTACTACTACATACATATATATATATATATATATATATACACATATACATGTTATATTTGTGTGTATGTATACATACATACACATATAAACACAATAGATTCATATGCTCATGTTGTTTTGGGTTAACATAAAGAGTGATCTGTTTGTTTCGGAAGACTTCGTTGAATGATTATTAGGCCTAGCACATTGTCATGTATTCGTGTTTGGAATTCGTTTTGATGCACAGCTGCATGTATATTGTTGTTATCGATGAGAGCATAAGCCATAAGGTTGATTGCTTTTATGAATTGAGGGCTTAGGCATTTAGAAATTCCTCCACATAGATCCTCTTACATATTCTAGTGCTACTAAAAGTCTTTGCCATATGAACAACCTTGTAGGGCTCTTAGGTTGCATGTATAAATTTGTTCTAATCGCATTCTTTATGTTAACTGAGTTGCAGTTTTAGTACATTAGCATGAACAACATTATTAGTATGTGAACGAATGTCATAATGTAGGATCATGTCTTTGTCAAGCAGCATCATTAGTATGAGATGTGGATATGCAATGATTTTGTTACTTGGAACCTAATAACATTCCAAGAGTGGTTGTTACTTTTTGCGGCTGTTGGAAATAACAGCTTGACGTAATTAGTGGCCCAGCAGATCGTTAATGTTTGTGTATTAAAGGAAATTTTTTATTTCATATATATTATCAGCTTTATTTACACTGTGCTTGCTGGAAAATGGATTCTTTGTAGTAATGAATGTTTTTGTGTAAACCTATATACTACAGGCTTGTCAATTTCTTCGTATCATTACATTCTATTCGACTCAACTTCCTGGTCCAAACTACCATTGTCGAGAGGTACATTCACTTTGTTTATTTTATTATTTATTGTGTGGGTGTTATTTGGTCTTCACGGAAGCAACCTCTCTACCCCTTCGGATAGAGGTAACATGAGCTTACATCCTCCCCTCCCCAGGCCCTACCTCGGGGTGTGATTTACTAGGTTCGTTTCCTTTGGTTTAGTTTAATCTGCATATTTTCTTTATGGTCGGGATATTCATGTTCCTTTGCAGGGTTCACGGCTTGCAACACTGCCTCGTCCCGATAATCCTCTTGAAGTTCTATTAATTAGTAAGCTTCATTCGTCTTTGTTCTCATCCCTCTTTGTTCTCATCCCTCTTTGTTCTCATCCCTCTTTTGTCTTCTGATGCACTTCATTAAGTTTCTGATACTATAATCTGCATCTGCAGTTCCTAGGGGTGTGCTTTATGGATGTGGCGATCTGATATTCTCATCCCATATGATCTTCTCTCTAGTATTTGTGCGGACATATCAAAAATATGGTACACGCAGGTAATGTTTGAATTTAATGCACTTGTATCAATATATACAGTACTAATATATAGATATTGATTAATCAAGTAAAATAGCTTGCTGTAATGGCTATCTATGTAATAATGTCGATCAGTAATGAGGTGGATTCAATTTATGATCTATCTTACAAAACCTGTCCAATTCAAAAGCCAAATAAACAACTAGTAGTTCCAAGATTCATCATGATTGCATAACCTGAAATACCATGTGATTTAGAAAGTATGGTTGAGCATTTTGAAATGGTTCTATTCGGGTCTTCAGATTTACATTTCTTTAAGAAAGTTCTTTTTATATTTATTTATTTTCTTTGCTATCAAGTAACTGAAGCAGCTTTCCTAAGGAGTCATGATGACATGAAAAGTTAATATTCCCTTGCATTACATTGAGATCTTAGCATATGGGATCTCAAAATAGTTCTCTTTTATGTAGTAGAAGATATTCACTCATTGCTTTGAAGAAGTCTTCATATTCACTCATTGTGACAAGGGGTGTGACACCCAGATTTTTCTCTTTGCCAATATGGAACCAGGGAAAACCCTTTAACATCTTTTTCTTATATTTTACCCCTTGTAATCAATAGATTATGCTAATTCCTCTAATAAATTAGACCAAGTGAAGAAACATGAATGCCTATTTTGGAAGTGGTATCGGCTAATCCACATGGTCTAGGCCCACTGCCACATAGTCCTGGAATCAAGGCCTCCCTTTACATGGCGTCAAGGGCTGGCCAAAACCTTTAGTTAGATCCAGAAACAGGATATGTTCTTTTTCAAGTCTTTCTTTCGATGATTTGAATGTATTGTAGACTTGGTTGCTTTTCTATCTAAAGATTACCATGCTACTTTACAATTGACACCAATAAGTAAAAAAATTGTTGCAGATTTATAAAGCAGTGTGCTTGGGTGATTGTGGTGGTTCAAAGTTTGTTAATTATTGCTTCTCGTAAACATTACACAGTTGATGTCGTTGTTGCCTGGTACGTGATAATCCACTCGCTACAACATTTATACCATGCATTTAGTACTTCTCAAGTATTAACAGATTCATGTCTATATTCCAGGTACACTGTCAATTTGGTCGTTTTCTTTGTTGACCGCAAGTTGGCAGGTTAGTGTCGTCGTATATCCACTTAGTAGTCAACAGTTGGTTTTTCAGCTAACTGCTAGTTTACCAGCTAAACATAGAGTAATCCTGAAGAATGAAATTTGAACTTTACAGAGCTGCCTGATCGAGGTGCAGCTGTGTTACCATTGAGCAAAGATGTCCGAATGAAAGAAGAGAACATTATACTTGTAAATGGCAACCCCGGAGAAACTACAGATTGGGTATAATCACATCATCTTCACCTTTTTTCTTTACATTTCTGTATTTAAACCAATCCGTTGACATGTGGTGGTTAATGGTGGTGATACAGCGGTTGAGAGGTCAAGCGAACGGGAAAATTAACGAAGATAGCAACAATGTACATGGCGACGTGCTGGACAGTGTATAGTCAGTCAACCCTGGTTTGCTGTTTTGTTAACAATCAATTTTCTTGTGGTAAGAAACTTAGCAAAAATGAGTTTCTATTTTTGTTTGTATTCAATTCTGAGGGTGTTGTGCCTACCCTTTCATGTTGTCTTCTATTCATTGTATTATGGAAATTTCATTTTCATCCATCTAAACATTTTTTCCATTTTTGTTATTCCAATACCATCATTACATGTTCATAAAATCTCAATCTCTACTGGTCTAAAGAGACGAAGATGTATACAGATCTTTCCTCTGCTTATGAAGAGTAGAAAGATCAAAATTCCTTAGGTGAAGAAGAAACAAACAAGAAAGAAAAGGGGATCAGACTCATTGCATCACTAAAACGAGCAGCCACGAAGAACGTTGTTACAACATGGAAATAAGTATATGCCCGTATCGTATGGGATTACATCTCTATCTATGTATCGATATCATCATGATGGTATGTTGAAGTGAAAGAGCCACGATATCACAAAAGCAAAAACCAAACATGCCAATATGAAATTGAGAAGTCTATGACCATTGATGCACCCTCGCCCCCCTCGTATCGCTGTTGCTGCTGACACGTGTGCCGTCGCCACACTCGTCGCCACGGGATTCACATCCATCGTTCCATGGCCCAACAGCGTCTCGTTTGGAACCACGAGATTGCTCACAATCGAATTACAAATCTCACATATTCTGAAAAAAAGCATCAAAATTTGATTTCAGTACTATTTGTAATTATGTATGTGTTTGATAACATAAAACAGAATGTTGGCATATTATTAAAGAAAGAGGGGAATCCAAATGCAATCCAATCCAGATCATGTCCAATGCTATTTACAGCCTGGACTGGACTTATACTTGCATGATAAGAAAAAAGATACCTTTCTTTAGACCTGCAAATACTACAAAAGAATCTCATTATTAAGGGAATAAAAGATCTACATCAATTGTTACCCATACCATATGGAGAAAAATATTAAAGCAAACACTTTTTTTTTTTTTACCCTTTTTAATAATTCAAATTATTTTGGTCGGTTTTGAAGATCGGGATAACAAACCATCAAATCGTTGCCGTTCGGCTTCAAGAACTCGATGACCTAAACGATTGTTTGTTTCTTAATTCTCTACAAGATCTGTCTGTAACAAGATGGTTTAACATGGACAACAGATGCATCATGGTGGATGAAACCAAATATATGGAATATACATCACATGAGGGGTATTTTAGTAATAACACATAGAGGATCTTAGAAAATGAATAAAAAAGGACAAAATATGTGATGGAATTTGTCGGTGTAACTTACAATTATTCTTGATTGCTTTTATTCAACACTTGTGTTTTTTGCTTTAATCCTTTAATTAAAACAATGTCCTTTGCTTTTCTCACCCACTCATCATTCTTTACAAGCTTGCTCGCATTGATATTCATGAACAATCCAACCAGAATCCAGTCAAAATAAGTCAAACAACCAAGATTTTGTTAAGAGAAAAATGTAGTTTGACCTCAAAAGTCAAACCAAAACTTCAAAGAATCGATATAAACTCTTCAATGCTTTCAAGTGAAAATTGATGTATGGGATTTTCTGGGTTCCTTTCTTTGATTAGGTTATTATATTAAATGATACCAACATGCACATCATGACCCTAAATTTAGAAATATAAAACATTGACTTTTAAAGTCAAACATGGACTTGTAACTATCAATATCAAGAAGGTTATTATTAAATCCCAAAAACAAGAGGCAAAGAGAAATGGATGTTTGTTTTCATGCTTTGAATGAATTCTGCTGTACAAGCAATCAATGCAAGATTATGATTAAGAATTTGCATAGATTTTTAGGGATGAATGAATGGACTCACTTGTTTCCTTTGATTTTGAACCAGGTTTCAGCACAATGCTTATGAGCAGCAGCTAAATCATCTTTACAGCAACAACCCAATTCAATGGCGTCACCATCACCATCATCAACAAGGCTCAGCTGACAGATTCTGCAATCTCTCTTGTCTAATTTCATCCCTAAATGCACAATTACAACTTTACCCTCATCATCTCCCAGTACATCCACCGAACAGTCCGACCCGGCGGAGGAAACTCTCCTGGAAACATGTCCGATTTCAGGATCATCGTAGTTGGCATCGCCGTATGTGGAGTAAAATTGGGAGTAACAAGAACCCTCTTCAGCATCTGAAAAGCATTGGTTGTTCTCGTCGGAGGTGGAACGGCGAGAGGTTTCACCGCCACCGCATTCTAAATCAATGCCGGCCATCTCCGAATTTGCCATATACTTTGAATCCGGTCAGCTGAAATACAAGGAATGAGTTGATGATCTGGGGAAAAGGGTTTTAGCAGAAAGAATGGGATTGAATCGAAGATGAAACGAAAAGGGGTAGTAGGTGATGGATTAGGTGAGCCATTAATCTTCTGAAAATGGGTGTTTTGTGAAGAATTTGGAGAGAAATAATGATGGATTATAAGGAAGGAAGGAAGAGAGATAATGGCAAAGGGGGAGGAGTGGAGGAAGCTTTATGAGTGTGAAGTGTGGGGCTTTGCAATTTTACAACAATGGAGGATTAGAATTTAGATGATGATTCATCATCCATGGGTACCAATTTACAGAAATATTTTTTCTTTTTCTTTTTCTTTTTCTTTTTCTTTTAATAATAAGAGTAAATTACAATTTTGGTCCCTATAGCTTATTGTTTTTTTTGTTTGGGTCCCTACAAAATTTTTATTGTAAGAAAACTCTCGTAGTATGCAAGAATGTTTGGTTTTGGTCTCTACCACTAACACCGTTGAAAATATTCTTTAAATCAAGGGTACTATAGCCTTTTTTCTAATTTCCGTTTAAAAAACAAAAAATGTTATATATATATATATATATATATACTAGTTTGTGGTAACCGTGAGATCCAATCTCAACCACAAATCAATAGATAAATTAGAAAATTTATAATTTTGAATTAAAATTTTAATGCAAGAACATTTTAGGTATTTTTCCTCCTCTCTTCTCTCTTCGCCCTCGTCCTCTGGCCATCGTCCTCCTGTGAAATCTAAAAATATTGACTCTGTTAAACAAAAAACACACTGTGATACCCAAACACATATAAGATGTATTGTGATATCACCGTGTTACATCTCCGATCGACCATACGAACGACCTCAATGTGATACCCAAACACATATAAGATGCATTATGATACCACTATGGTATCATTGGAGGACGGTGGCCGGAGAGAGGAGTGTTTTAAAATAACTAAAATATTCTTGAATTAAAATTTTAATTCAAAATTACCAAAATTATAAATTTTCCTAATTTATCTATTGATATGTGATTGAGATTGGACCTCATGGTTACCACAAAACTAATTAGTTCTCATTTGATTAAGCCCCTATATATATGTTGTTTAATTTCTAATTAAAATTTAAACAAAAGAAAAAAGAAAAAGACCGCCAATACCCCTGATTTAACGAATATTTTTTAACGGCGTTAGTCGGTAGGAACCAAAACCAAACACATTTGACCTTTATATCAGCCAAAAATTATACTAAAATACATCATACATGGATTTTACCACGAATTCAACTTTTACATACCACAAGGGCTTTTTTACAACATAAATTTTATAAAAACCCAAACCAAGAAAAACAACAAACCTTAGGGACTAAAATTGTAATTTCCTCTAATAATAATAATAATAATAATAATAATAATGAGTAAATGGTGTTAGGAGATGAGGTGAGATAACGGAGACGGTTGGGGCTACAAATGAGCCGAGATTTGTTGCTTTCCTAACAAACTCCATCATCACTCCTCTTACCAAGTTTCATCCTAAATTCTATTCAAATTTATTTATTTTAAGTGGGTCTCCTTTATTTAAAACCCTTTAAAAAATTCAAAAACCACATATTTTATGTAATATTTATTTTTATTCATCTTTAGATTTGAACCTGAGACCTCCAAGTATTTTTGACCTTTGGAGTCAAGCTCAACTCAATCAAACAGTGATTAAGTTTGTAATATTTTGATTATTAAAGAAATGGAAAAGTCAAATGCTCCGAAAGCAAAATTGTATCCTACGTCTTAATATTTCGAGGTACGTTTATAGTATGTATAAGTCATAAAATAGCAGGATGTTTTACAAATAATGTACGTCATTGTCCAAAAGAAGTGTATATATTACAACCATTTATGGGTTGATGTCTTTATATCAACCTAGAAAAAAAGACGTGAATACGTTGATTTCTCAATTTAAAAAATATATATTTTAAATCATAAAATTACGATGAAAAGGAAGTATATAATAAATTCATGGTTCATACATCTCCTTGCTTTACATCCGGTTCCTAAGCACTTTTTGTCTTTTGAGATATCTGAACATACTACGTGCATGCTATTTTAATTGTAGTAAAACAAAGGGCAAATTGCATTAAAAAATAACGTACTTTAACTTGATTTTTATTTTGGGTAACGTACTTTTAAAACTTTCATTTTGATACCTAAGATGTAAAGTTTTAAACATTTAAGTACCCAGATAACCTAGTGATGACTAATTTTAGACTAAAAAAAGACTAATTTTAGATTTAAAAAAATCCACGTCATTGACCAGGACAACAAATAATACCGAGTTGGATACCACATCACTCGACACATCAGCATGATAATCGGTTAATACTTCAACCAGTTACCCGGGTACTTAAATGTTTAAAATTTTACATCTTAGGTACCAAAATGGAAGTTTTGAAAGTACGTTACCCAAAATAGGAATCAAGTTAAAGTACATTATTTTTTCATGCAATTTGCCCTAAAACCAATTATAAAATGGATGACTGATTTTGAAAATCAAGAAGTCTTGGTTGAACAGTACATTACTGAAGGATTAGTCGGCAAATAAAAGTACAGCCTTTAAAACTTATATCTATTAGGGTGCAAGAAGGCGTCTACATTAATATATTCCCATTAATGGTTCTCTCTAAAATCAAGAATAAACGTAAAAAAAAGTCGTTTTTTAGAGTTTTTACTGAATGATATATCATAAATGTTCTCATTTAATGTTCTTACTTTTATGTGTCATAATGTCTCTTTCCAAAGAATATATGTAAAACTTGATGTCTGTAGAATCCTTTGCCAAACTTTTGACTCATATATCGGCTAATATGTCTAAGGGGACATTTATCAAATGCTTACCCGAGTAAGTGTATACCAAGTAATATTATCTTACCCGATGAATATGGTAATTAACGAAAATTTTACTCGGTAAGAACGAGACAAGTACCAAGAGTCTTACCTGATAAGTGAGGGCGACGACTCTTGTCACGGTAAACACTTACCGGATAAATTGTTGCATACGATGTCGTTTTGGTGGACTAAAATCTTACCCCATAAGTAAATAATAGTGTTAAACTTTACCAGTAAGCACTTACCGGATAAGTATTTGGTAAACGGCTCTTAAGTGAAGGGTTATCATAAAATTGACTTTTGATAGACGCTTCACTATTTTAGGTCAATATCTTTTGGTGTCCATCTCGGGTGAATATCCTCTTATCAAAACTTTTTAGAGTGTTTATTTATCTTTCTAAAAATGGAAAGTTTTCATTTTTGGGGAGTTATTAAATTGAAAGTTTCCTTCATTAAATCGTTTTAGCAACACTTCGTTTACAAGTTGAACTTTTTTTGACTTTTCTGTGCCATAAAAAGTGGATCAGTCTAATGAGGCATGGTCTAGGCCATGAGTTTATCATTCACACTGTGGTTACATGGCTAGACATGGGTTTTCATCTTCTTAGTAATCAAGAATACGGAGGTAACCACAAAGGTGGTGTCTGATTGGTTTGAGCTTGTCTCCAAAGATCAAAAGTACCAGGAGGTCCCAGGTTCAAGTCCAATAAGGAATAAAAATCCCCTTGTGGCCACGAAGGTTCAAATGCGGTGACTCTGGACTATCTACAAAGCAGGTGGTCGCCCTGAGATTAGTCGACTCGCATAGCGGGTTGGATATCCAGGTTAATAAAAAAAATGGAGGTATGATCCTATAGAAGTGTAGTTAGATAGTACGTACCAAATAAAGTATTTGTGAAATTGTACAGATTAAAATTATTTAATTATATTCGAATAATGTTTGGTAATCATGTGTCAATTCTAAACTATAATAGCATTGAATTCACGGGTGTATCATATTATACGTCTTAAAACATTTTAAGTGATCTCTTATTAAAATTATAGCATGAGATTCTTTCTCAAACTTTTCAAAATACGCAACAGAGTTGCACCAAAACTAATCAAAGCACATAATATTACAACGAAACCTTCTAACTATCATTGTTTAATTTCAACGACAACTCCATGCCAGTTTTCCACTTAGGTAGCTCATTACCTCGATCTTCAAGCCTCCTCACTCGACACAAGTTTGTATACTTAATCAAAGGTATACGTCATCATCCCCTTACATATTGTGTCCCTCATTGTCGTTACCGTTTCTTTTGCCATTGTCACCACCATATATCGTTGTCTACCCACCCTCTCCTTCATCTTCCACCTCTCACCATCCCCTCTCTGTCTTCCAGAAGCTTTTAGTTTAATAATACTGATCTACGCAGGAACCCAAGATCCAAAGTGGATTTTGTTCCCTTTTAACTAAAGTGAAGTTTGATCTTTTGCAAACATTCCCAAGAATCCAAGATCCAAATTGAATTCTGATTTATGCATGAACCCAAGATACAAATTGGGTGTTGGTTTGTGCATAACCAAGATTTCAAGAACATTGATTTATTCAAAGAATCTTATGATATCTTTTGCTATATTATTTGTTTTTTTAGGTTATTTCTATTATATAATTTCAGGGTCGTTCCTTAAAATTTTTAAAACTCATTTTTCATGCATAAAGTATTGTATATTGATGCATATTATTTAAAATTCAAGATTACAAGTAAATTATGCATAAATACAACTTGTTAAAGCTCGATGTTTGAATTCGTATAA